CGAGCCGATCATGAAGAAGCGGCCGAGTTGCGGTGCCGCTCCACCGTCGCCGCCTCGAGCTTTGTGAACGCAGTTCGCAGGACGCCGCGGAGGCCGCCGCGGAAGCCGAGCAGCGTCGAGCCGGGGTGGAATGCCTCGAGGTGGTCAAAGAGTCCGCAGATGCAGTTGTGCCCGCCCGCCGCAGGAGTGCCGCCCGAGAGCACGCAGCCAACGCGCAGCGGCCTCGGTGCGACGGAGGTGTCGGTCTCAGCCGCCGGCACGAGGCTGACGACAGGGCTGCCGTACAGCGTGGGAAAGGCGCTCGCGATGAGATCCTCGTGCGAGACGCACGTCGTGCGCTCCTGCGCGGGCTCTGCGCGTACGCGCACCCGGAGCACCGCCGGCACGCAAGGCCGGTAGTGCCTGCGCTCAGCCTCGAGTGCCGACATCTGCTGTGGCTCGTTTCCAGCCATGCGTGCGGCACGGGAGATCGACATCGCCTCCAGCGGTGGGCTGGCCCCTCTAGTGGAGGTGCGGTGGCGTTTGGCCTCGCTCAGAGGCGGGCTGGCGACGGGGAAGGGGTCTGGCATTACAGACGCGAGGGTGCGCAATCAGCGCCCAAAAGAAGAAATCCGCGAAAACCCCGGGGCTAGGGCTCTCTTGCCCGCAACCCGATGCCAATCATCCGGCCCGCTGGGTGCGCTTCTGAGCTCCCCGGCCCTGGATGTGCGGTTAATGACTGCACTCCAAGTGCTCCAAGGACGACCGATACTCTTGTGACTGTGTGCAAGAATTATGCCCCGCGCACCAGTTCGAACCAGTGTTGACAGCAAGACCCCGGGGTTTGGCACTCCCACCAAAACCCCGTGCGGAGAGTCATCGCACACCACCACCCTGGAAGAAGAGAGAACTCTCCACCCTTGGCAGCACAAAGCTGCGCCAGATGTCAGCCAGCTCTGGAGCCGCTCCCTCGCTCGTGCGACTGTGGCGACCACTCCGCCGCCTTGAGGATCAGTTGTTCTTCTCCACGATCTTGTCC